CAGTATCACTATGAATCAGAATTAACTCAAAGGTGGTAGTCGTTATAGAAAATACTTCATTCTACAGATAAACTACAATACATACACACACTGCAATACTATGCGGCCTTAAAAAACAATGACGAAAGCATGAAACACTGCATGACATGGAAGGACCTAGATACTAGTGCTCACAGCCAACCCAGTCAGTCACACAGCACAGGGCTCCAGAATTCCTGAACCATACAAACTGTGAAAACAATCTGGAGCAGATTTAACGTAAGAAGACTGTTATCATCATACAAATATGCACTATAATACCCCTCATAATTCCATCTGCTCTGGTCACTGAACTTAGTCATCATCACCTTTTTCTGCTATTAGAGAAGATTTCCCAGATCATATGATCTAAAACAGCATTTCTTTTGCTCACATCATCATTCGTCTCTTCCCCTTTCCTACCTATCTTTTAGGATTCTGACCAGGCCAGAGAGCACCTCACAAAAGAAGTGTACTGCAACAGCCACACGGATGTTTTTTTAGAAGTGCCTTTCTCTCATAAAACATCGAATGACTGTGCAAACATCTGTTAGTATACTTTCACACAGCATACTACCTCACTCCGGGGATTCTGTTTACTAGTAACTCCTGCAGAAAACCATTCTTCTCATGAGTCCCCTATGGAAATCTGTGCCAGTTTCCTTGCTGCTCTGTAAACAAACCGTGCACACTCCCACCCCAGGCATCTCTGGACACCCTGGCTCCACCATCTGCAATGCTCTCCCTACAAATGTTCCCACGCGCTACCTGCCGCCTACTCAGACATTTTTTCCAGAGTCTACTCAATGAGTTCTTGTCAGAACAAGCTATTTAAATGGCAAACATACTCTCTCTCCGCCTACTTTTCTTGTATCTGCCCTTTCCTTATTTAACGGACATTTCTATGATATATAAAAAAAATGGTTACTGCTTTTCTCTTGAACACAAGCAAAATGAAGTTATTTCCTTCGCTCCTAAGAAAATACCTGGCATATACCAAACACTCAATGTTCACTGACGGAACAAACAAATTAAATCTCACAAGGCTGTAGAGTTGTTAATTCTTGTAGAGAAATTGGAATTTTAACCCTGCATACTGAAAATCTATGTAATTGCTAAATTATAGTTACTAATATATAATCTATACCATAATAGCTATTGATTTTTATTAAGTTACAAATTTGATCCAACGATTCCAAACCTTCTCTGACATTCAAACTCATTGTAAGAGTAATGGCAAAAAATGTTATTTGTCTTTACATAAGCAAAATTGAAGATTCCTCATAAGAACAGATGTTTTAAAGATAGTCTTAGTACTAGAGGAAACTATTTATGCAAATCAGTATTTTACACAAAACAAGTGAGCATACCAGAGGCATTTTAAAGGTGAACATCATTTGCTTGTATTAGAGTTTAAATTCTGAACACTAAATTTACAGAAGGCTACAGTGAATAGTGGAAGCCTAAAACCAGTTTCAGTCTACACATAATATTCAGTCCCCACTGAATTATTTCTAATCATTTAACCTGCAATGTGAGTAGCTTTGCCCTCAAGCAGAGTTCATTACAAAGTGGATCACTAACATTCCACCAGCCAGTCAAGGAGGGAGGCCTAACCCGTAGAGACCTGCCTCCGTGGGTCTTTAAAGGAAACTTGGGTGCTAGGGTCGAGGGGTCATGCATCACATCCTTACTGCCTTGGTTGGAGTGCTGAAAGAGTCTGGTAAGCGCTTCTATCTAGCACAACGTGTATGTCCCGGTGAGGGCCCTATTCCCACTCCTATAGCCTGCCTGCATCTGGGAAGAGTTGATCTGTCACCATCATGCTTTTGCCAGTTTCTTTCATAGAACCATGTCCTATTTAAGCAGCTGGTTCTCTGTCACCTCTTGGACACCATTATCAACTCATGCAGGTCTCCCTCATCTGGATGAATTGTCTTTGTGCTTGTCTGTCTTTGTCCTAGTTAGGACTTAATAAATGTGTCTTTATAATATAAATTTGAGAGATTTGGGGTCTCTTTTGTCCCTAAAACATGCTGTTGGATAAAGACAAATGTGGTATTGGGTTCCCACAAACTAGGTTAATATTTTACTCCTGCTTTAAGAAAACAAATAAGAAGTATTGATGATGCCAAGACAAGACGGGAAGCCGCCTGACTGATCTGACTGATGAGTCACCACATAACAGAAGCAGAGAGGCCGGACGCTGGGAGGCTGACCACCCAGGACCTTGACAAGGGAGAAAGGACACAGCTGGGTCTCAACCAACCATCCTGAGCTCAATGCCCCCGGCTAAACATGTGGGAAGGGCCTGCCAGTCCTGGGCGGGGTCTCACTAAGGTATTCTGACTTTGCTGGTCAATAAACCTGCTGTGCTGCCTCCTTCTACCTGCTTGTTCGGTCTCTGCATTGCCACTATGACACCGCTCCTTTCTAGAAGCTGGCAGCGCCAGGATCCGCCTGAGAAAGGGGTCACCATACCCTAACAGTGTCATTTGTTCATTAATAAATATTCAGTCATATCTATTAACCATACTTTGAGGAAGCATTCTTTTTGGCAATAAAACTACTATACTAGTAAGCAACTCTTATACTCTTGAGGCAGAAAATAAACTAAAGAAATATTAGTGTCACACACCAAAAGAATGATTTTGGCACATAATTGACTTGGTAACTATGCCTAAATAATTCAGTGTGGATTTTTATCATGGTGGTGAAGAGCTCAAACTCTGGATTCTCCAGCACTGAATATTCCACTATACATTGTGCCCCTGGCAAATTAATCCTCAAGTCCTTTCTCATCAACAGGATCACAGAACCCATCGGGAAATGAATGCCATTGGGTGGCTTTCTGCTTGTTTTTCAGAAGAACAGCTTGATGATTTGTTTCCCCGAAACTCTGAGGAGTTACCTTTGCCCTTCTTGTCTACCCCAGAAGGTTGGTCTCTTTTGTCCAGATTGATGGACATCTTCTGAGTGTGTTGTGAAAAACTGAACATCTTGATAGTTTTCGTCTGGTCCTGGGTGGCTGCCTGCCCAGTGATGGCTATGCACAAGGCAGGGCTTGGTGAATGTACTATATAAAGGAAGCACTGATTACTATGCACATGAATTAAAGAAAGGAAGAAAGAGAGAGAGAAAGAAAGAAAGAAAAGCTACAAAGAGGCGGTGAGCCAGCTCCTAACAGCAGGAACACAGGTCAAGAACTGTTAACACTGAAGGGCAGCAGCGAGAGCTCTGGAAAGGGCGCTGAGGAGAGTCAGTGGTGAGTTCACAACCACTGCTGGAACTCAGCTAAGAGATCGGAGCAAGAGGCTTGGAGGCACAGCAGTCAGCAGTCAGCTCCGGCGAGGGAAAGGAAAGGCACAGGAGCCTAGGGCAGGGATGACGGCCCGGGTCAGACGGGTCGGGCATGGCAGAGAAGGGGCTGTTTGCTTGCTGAGAGAGATGGCTTGGGCTACAGAAGTGTGGGACGCGCTCTCCATACCAAAGAACCTTCCAGACTTGGCCTACATGCTTCCTGATCTGATCCTGAGTTATACCCTATTACTTCCTTCATAAGCCACTGAACTGTACTAGAGGGCTTCAAGAAATTGATCGAAAAAATACAATTGAAGGATAATGGAATTTTCCTATAAACTCTTCGAAGTCACCTCCTAAGTAGTGTGTCATTTTAATGAATTATTGAACCACTCAACATAGAGTGCCACGGGACAGATGGCCACTGTGTTAAGTTGGGTTATCTAGAGAAACAAATCCAGTGACACTGAAAGAGGTATAAGGGCTTTATATCAAGAAATAATGATATCAACAAGGTATCTCAAACTAGTCCAACTCAAGTCCATGGTCTGATGCTAATCCATAGCTGCTTTTCAGGCTCATGGAGCTGCAGAGAGGAGAGAAACCCGGAGGACCTTAGAAGAAGACATTCAAGATCTATCTGAAGTGGAGAGGCTGCCAGGACCAGCTATATCACAGACTGGCACAGAGACTCAGAGGAGCAGGGCAGAGGCGAGACTATGGGGTACCTTCTCTGTATCTGGCCCAGACTAAAGAACTGTGAGACAGTGACAGGGGAGCAGGCTTCCTGGACCATAGGGGCAAAGTCAAGGGACCAGAGAGAGACTTGGCTAACACTGTGACTCTGGATGTACTTCATGCCATTTAACAAGAATAAATTGGATAAGGTTAGTTTGTTGTCTAAATGTTTTCAACTGAGTTCCAGCACAGGATCCAATCAATACTTACTTCCATGGCAGCAACTGCTGCCCCTCGCTTGCTGCCCCTCCGCTCTAGCCATTTCACTTTCTGCACCTGAGGGTCTCAGCAGTTCCCCTGGAATCCTTTTGTGTGACTGACCACAATTTCAGTACCTTACATTAAAGCAGCTCCTTCACCAAACTCACTGCAGGGCAGGGTAGAGCAGACACTGAGGGTTTCTGAGGCTGTAACCTTTTACAGGAGGCGGTTCCAAACAGCTGAACCTTGAGGTTAGCAGCCCAACACGTATCCCACTACGCCACCAAGGCTCCCCTTAACACACTATCACATTATTCCATCTCATTTTCCACTTGGCCCCTATCACCAGATAAAATGACGTTGTTTATTTCTGTTAACTGTTGATTTCTCTTCCACCATGTTTCATGTACAATCTATAAGCCCTCTAAGAGCAGGTTCTCTATTGCTCTGCGGTCAAAGCATTGTTGAATTACTGAGGGAATGAACCTCTCCTTGCCCTATGGCTTTTCCTCATTAAATTCTGGAAATACACAAACACCTGCGAGATGAATTGAGCCAAAGATGTCCCACGCCACCTCTTCGCTAACGCGATTCATCCCGTCTTCCACTAGGGGGCGCGCCGTCTGGCCACGCCTCCTCCCAATCTGTCACTCTTCGATTCCCGCCCCGCTTCCCTTAGGGGAGGCGCCTCGCGGGGCCGATCATACCCACTTCCACACCCGCGCGCCTACCGTGCATCTCACCTGATTCCCTCTCCGCCTCCACGAGGGGGCGCGCCTCGGAGGGCCGAACCTCCGCTGTGGTCCTCCGTAGCGTAGCCAGCACTGTCTCCGGGGACAAGTCGATTAGCTGGTCCCACATAGATTCCGTGTAGAAGTCTACCGTATGCGCACTGGAAATCGGCAGGGCCTCCCTTAAGAACTGCAGGAGCCCCTGTAATTTGGCACGCAGCGTGGGCAGGTCTGGGGTGTCCGGGAGTGGGCATGAAGCCGCCATGACGCCCAACCTCCTGGGCTGTAGGTGGCGCAGACGTCCCCTCAAGACAAGATCTCGGCACAAGGTGCCACAGGCCTGATACATCCACCTCCGAGAGAGACCGTAGGACGTAGCGTCAAGGTGGAGGATAGATTGCTTCGGCCTGATGACGTATTTTGGCGGCGTCGGTTGTCGTTTTCTGGTACCTACGGCTCCGCCATGGCGCCGGTAAAGCTAAGCTCCAGCCGGCGCGCCGAGAGCCTGGGTTTGCGTGGCGAAGCGGCTTCTCCAGTCGAAGTCAAGAACAGGGACGTGAAACAGAGAAGGTGGAGATTTAATCACCCGAAGGCTTTTGTAGGGAGCGTCCATGAGGGTACGTAAGAAGGCGGCTTTAGGGAAGCCTTAGACCTGTGAGGTTTTAGCACCCGGGTGGCTCTGGAGCACAGACGGAGGATGCTGTTTGGGGGCAGAGAAAGGCTTTTATGAGGCCGGCGAAGTTGTGAGCTTCGCTGAGGTCCTGATGGGAAGACGCGCAATGCTATCATTAAGGATTTGAACAGGTCTTAATTTATTCTGGATTTTCTGTATATTTTCCTGAGGAAACGGTAATCGGCGTCCACAGATACACTTTCGTACGTGAATTTATGCGGGACAGTGCATGGTAGGAGGTGGTGGTTGATAGATTGTCGTAGGGTGGACTCTAGATTCAAATTTTGGGTGACCCGTGAGGGTTGAGCAGAACGGCTCCGTCGGGGATCTTTGGAGCGCCGAATCGCCAGACCTGTCTTGGGCAACCATGATGTTAGTGTAGTGTCTCAATTCCCTGCTGAATACAGATAACCAAGTAATATTCTAGGCTTTTCCTTTAATTCTCTTCCTTTCTTTGTTTTTTGCCCAATTTTGCTTTGCGAACAGACTAGTCACTCCAAAGATGAAAAAAGAGCTGAGTTGTCTGCCCCCATAAAGAGTCAAGGTCTCGCCCACGAGACAGCCCTGCTCTGTCCTTTAGGGTTGCGGTGAATCAGGATCCACTTTGGGGCATCTGTAAGACGTTTCAAATCCCTTTGAGAATGCATGAAATATAAAATAAGTTCAGTATTCCGTGAATTGCTAGCTGTTCAGGAAGTCATACAGTATCTTTTTATTTTGTGGGAAAGTATTTTCAAACTTCAATATGTCTCTAAGGTAAGGGAACAGTGAAGAGTTTTCCCCCTCTATTTTAAAATTATTTATTAAAGCTAGATAAAGTATTTTAATTGGATAAAAGGAAAATTTTTAAGATTCGTGCATATAGGAAACAGCATTAATCTGTTTTCCTTCATTGAGACTCTGAGTTGGGTGCCTGTATTGACTATTGCTAGCTTGGGCTTTTTGCAAAGAGTCATCATTCTATTCAGTCCAACGTCTTTGTTACCGGAAGTACTGTTTTAAAGCAAAAAAGGGAGAGTTTATTTTTGACATTTTTCATGCAACTTAACCACTTCCCGTGAAAGTAATTTGTGACTGACATTTCTCAATGTAGGGCAAGGCTTTGCACTTAGAAGAAAGCTAAAGATTCAACAAAGTTACAAGAAATTGCTTTGGAAGGAAAGAAAGTTTCAAACCTCACGGGAATCCCAGTTCACAGATCGATACCCAGACCACCTGAAACATCTCTATTTAGCTGAAAAGGAAAGGCTCAAGAAGCAAAACAGAAAAGTTCCCCAGCCTTTGCCAGAAGTACAAGTTGCACAACCTTTGCCAGAAGAGCGCGCCAGCCTTGACCAGGCTGTGTCTCAGGAACCGTGCAGCCTGGATCATCCTCTGCCAGAAGAACAATGTAGCACAACAGTAAAGTATGGTTTTCCTTTTGATGTCTTTTACTATGTTGAGGTTCTTTCACAGGGGTTCAAATCCAATAGCTACTCCTTGGGAGAATGATAAGTCGATCTGCTTCTGTAAAGATTTATAGCCTAAGAAACTCTGGGGAAGTTCTGCTCTGCCCTGAAGGATTGCTCTTTGACAGTGGCTAATAGTATATTAAAGGGGTGTGAAGATGCCTCATCTTCCTCCCACAAAGTGAGTGGTGGATTTCAACTGCTGGCCTTGCAGTTAGCAGCTCAACACATAACCACTACGCTACCACTGCTCCTTGGGTGGAAGTAGGGATGAAATTAATTGTAAGCACTTTACTGATGAAATAATGTCTTGTTGCATCATCTCTCCCCACCCCCAACGAGTTTGCACTAGTGTAATTTCTCCATACTAATGCTATATTGGACATAAATGCATCATTGGTTTGGTTTTGTTGGGCCTTTGTGACTTATTTGTGTTAATTTATTTTATAAAGCTCCTTTGCTACCCGAATGAAAAAGAAAAAGAAAACATCCAATCAGAAAGCACAGGAAGAATATTCACAGATCCAAGCCAAACGTGCTGCTAAGAAACAGGTAAGTTCTACCTGTTTCAGAATACTTAGTTCAATATTATATTTTAGTGTATATGTTGTACAAACAGTATGCCTTCAGTAAATATTTGTTGAATGAATGAGATATCTGAACTGATTGGACTCAAAACATTCTTTTTTTTATTATGAATTATCTTAAAGAGGTGATACTGTTAGATCAAAAATAAAATTAATGTATAGGTTAATAATTGGAGCATCTGAGACAGTGTTTCTCAGAATATGGTCCAGGAACCTACAAGTACCTCATCAAATTCTTATGTACACTAACATTTGAGAACCACTGAGCTGAGAAAAATAAACATGATTTTCATAATTTTACTTTGGTGCAAAAAAGTCAGATAGGCGGTATTAGAATATTTTATTGTTTTTCTTTTTTACTATAAAGAAGTCAGTATTCTTCCCTTACACCATAATTCAATCAATCCTTCTGTGGTCTTCCTTAACTCATTGGACAGTGTTCTTATGCCTGTGGGGCAATTGCAAATCCCAGGGATTGGGTCAGGAGCTCCTGAGTCCTCAGAGTGACATCTTTAAATAGGCCTTTTGCAGTGATTTACCTAATGAAATACGCCTTTGATTTCTTGATGTTTTTCCATGAGCATTGATTGTGACTACTGTTCCAATGAACATTGATTGTAGATCCAAGTAAAATGAAATAAATACTTGACAACTTCAGTCTTTTCTCTGTTTATCATGATACTGTTATTGGACCAGTTCTGCGGATTTTTGCTTTCCTTATATTGAGTTTTAATCCATACTAAAGGCTGCAGTCCTTGATTTTCATCAGTAAGCCCTTCACATCTTCACTTTCAGCAGGCAAGGTTGTGTCATTTGCATATCATAAGTTAATAAGCCTTCCAGCATTCTTCATGTAGTCCCTCTTCGATTATTTGCTTAGCATTCAGATTAAGTAAATATGGGGAAAGGATACAGCCCTGATACACACCCTTTCTGATTTTAAGCCATGCAGTATCCCTTGTTCTCTGCCTCTTCGTTGTTGTGCCTCTTTGTGTGATCCATATTGAGGGACCTTGCAGTTAGCCTTCCTCTTTTTCACCACCCCTTAATTTATATAGACCTTGGGCTTTTTATAATGATGAAAATTGATATTTTCATAGAACATCCAGATTCCAAATATTAATCTAAAAGCCAATACCTTTACTCATAAAAAATTAAATTGTTAAGGACCTTAATTAAATAACCCATAATTGACCCAAGAAATCCTGGGTGATACTTTTCATCTCAATAGATAATTGATTTATTTCTCTCATACATAAAGCAAATCTGAGTCTTAGCTTAGTAAACCAAATGAACATAATAATGTGTTAAATATTGAGAATTAAAGTGCCTAGCAAAATGGTTTGAACATATGGGTATATAATCAGTAAATGCTTCTTAAAGTTTTCAACTTGTGAATTGGTCAGAAAATAAAAAGAATACCAGGTGTAGCTTTCTGGAAAGGAAGAGTTTAGTGTTAAGTGAAAATTAGACTGTACAACCTTTAAAGCCCTTAGAATATCTTCTAGACTCTTTGCTTCAGTGGCCTCAGCACTCTGATGTTCAAGCTAGCATAATAGCTCATTGAAGAAGAGACAAAATGCCATAGATAAAAATTAAGTCATTATATATATTATATACATATATATTATATATTATACATAATATACATATTATATACATATAAATATATGCCTTCTCCTTTTATTTGCATACAATCATTAAAATTGTTTTTTAATTTCACTATATGTATTTTATAATATGAAGGCAAAGAAGATATACTATTTCAATTAGAGGAAATATTTTGTATTTTATAAACTATCGAAAATCAATACTGAGTTTTTCCACAGTATGGCTATTTCAAAATAATTTCTTGACTAGATTAACTGTTTATTACTAATGAAAATCATGCATGTTAACAATTTCAGGAATTTGAGCGGAGGAAACAGGAACGAGAAGAAGCTCAAAGACTCTACAAAAAGAAGAAAATGGAAGTGTTCAAAATATTAAGCAAAAAGACTAAAAAGGGTCAACCAAATTTGAATATACAAATGGAATATCTTCTTCAAAAAATACAAGCAGGAAATTAAATCAGATACATCCTTAATCAATGGCCAGAGCATCTGCATATGTCTACTTCAATTTCTGAATATACAAGGGGACGTCAAATCTTTCAAGGGAAAGAACATTTTCTATGCAGTTGTACATTACAAGATTTGTTTTTAATTTGTTTCTAAAGAAAAATAGAGTGAAGAACAGAAAGCACCTTCTATTTGGGAGACAGACTCAAACATAATACTTTTGTAATATGTAAAGTATGTATAAAATGTTTTAAAAATAAAGGAACGGCTTTAAAAAGTGTTTCCATTTACATAGTAATCAGCAGTTGTGGTCTGCAATTCATTTTAACAATGGAGGCAAACAGTCCCGCTTTACTTTTACTTTAGATTAAGTACTTTTTGCTGGGAGATGGACTTTCTACAAGTATCAGGGCAGAGATTTTATTCAGGACACGTAAGAGCTAAAACTACCTTCTGGCCCACTGTATATGGATATGATCTTTAAGAGCAGATGTGGGCTTAAGGACTCAGTCATTATTTGTAAATATTTCCTGAAGTGAAATGAAATACTTTGTTAATCTACGATCTTTCAGATGGTCAAGTAAACCAATAGTGTTGCAACAAGAAGTAAGCTTTCCAGATCTGTGCAACTGTATACTTTTAAAAACACTGTCACTGGTGTGTGCCCTGTTGTTGCCCTTGTGAACTAAGGGAAGTACTGGGATGTTTCTTCTGCTTATTCCTTGGCATTCATTGAAAAACATGTTGGCAATCATCATTGCAAGCAAAAGCTTTGTAATAATAGTCATTTAAAAATTGTAATTGCATAATAAAATGTTAAAAGTGGTAACAAATGTAGCCTGAAATTGCCTTACAACTGTAGGAATCCTGTGTACACGATTAATTGATTCTCCATTTTAAAATGCAATAGGGAGAAAGACGGGCAATCTTTACTTTGGAAAACCAGCCACATAACTGAAGGGAAAGCTAGAGAGGTTGCTTTGGCAAAATCCCAGCTTATTACATTGACAGACAAAAATGCAGTAGGATGTGCTGAGGAAATGCTGAGTTTATTAATGCTGAGGTTACCATTTAACAATTCTCACGCAAATTGTCCAGTGACATTAGTTATACACTGTGTCACCATTCTCCAAAATTGTACCTGGTGTGTTCCCTTTGCAGTATTTCAGTTTTCCTTCCTCATCTTCATTTCTGCTTTTGAGAAATTGTTGACCTTTTGTTTTCAAATAGATTGATTTTCAAGCAAAAGCACCACCATCATGGACTACCCTTTGTGTGCTATTTCGATAAAGGGTGATTTCACAGGATATAGACTTGGTTCTAGTTTTAAAGAGTTTCTGAGAGTGATAGCCTCAGAGTCTTCTGTTTTCTACTGTTCCTTTTTCTGACTTAAATAGGGATTTGAGATCTGTTCTGTGTTAGGCAGGGTTCTCTAGAGAAACAAAGCCAAGACACTTATGATTTTATATATATATATATTTATATACATATGAATAGGTTTATACAGCGAAAAGGAATGTAGCAGCTAATTGGTCCACAGCAGTACAGAGGGTTCAGTTCAACTCACTTCCATCATACAGTTAATATCCTGGAAGTGCTTCAACTTAAGAGGGCTGCTGGATCCAAGTCAAGGAAACAATGTAGTCCTCTATCGGGCCAGGCAAGCAAGAGTCTGCCCACAGGCAGCAAACAGCAGGGTAAGTCACCGTTGGTAGCTTGGGACCTTAGCGAAGGCCGCAGGGGACATTCAATGCAAGCAATGCAAGGTGACTGGATCCACCAAGCTCAAGCGAAATACACACCGGCAGTGATGTACACACCAGTGAAGTGAAGGAGCCTCGGGCTTTCAGGACACAATCCACAGGTTGGCCTGGCCCGGCCCAGGGATAGTGTGGCTCACAGGTTGAGGCAGAGAACTAGCTAAAGCAGCAGCACACTAGTTCCCGTCACCAGAGAGCAAGAGAGACAGGCGGGCCTTGCAGAGCCATTTATCTCTTTGCACTCCTATCAAACCTCGACTTGATTAATCCCACATGTTCCTACTGGCCAGGTTGGCACAATAAAGCTATCACATGTTCCATCTTTTTCTCTCATTCTATCCAGGACGGTATTGTGAAACCCATAGTTGTACCTTAGATGGTCACTGGCAAGGTTTTAAGACCCTAGGCTCTACTTGTTTCACTAGCTTATCGATTACTATTTGGGGCAGTTGACGTGAGTTGTCTTGCATGCTATTATTAATGTCCGAAGCTTTCAGATGCAGAAAACCCATGTTGGAAGGTGTTTATGTCTGAGGAGCCTTTATATTTGTGTCTTCAGTGAATATACGAGGGACTTCAAAAAATTCATGGAAAATATAATGGAATTAAATGACAATGGAATTTTTCCACAAACTTTTTGAAGTGCCTATGTATGTTCCTACACACATATAGATATTCAAAGAACCTGCTGGTACTGTCGGGTGAATATTGGATTGTTAACCACAAAGATTACGGTAATTCAAACCCACCAATCCCCTCCAGAAGAAGATGAGGCTATATCAGAAACCCTATATAGGGTCGCTATATTTAGTATTGGAGTCGGCGTGATAGGACAATTCAAGGAACCCTGGTGTCGCTGTGAGTTAGGTATTGAGCTGCTAATCACATGTGGGAGGAAGATGAAGCTGTCTGTTCCCATAGAAAGTGCAGCCGCAATCCATATATAGGGTGGCGATAAGTTGGAATGACTTGATGGTCACGAGTTTGGACTTTGTGTTTTTTTTATAGATAATTCTAAATAACCCTAGATACACTGGGGTGGGATAATGGGCTACTGACTCCAAGGTTGACCCTTCATATCCACTAGCTGTTCTTCAGAATAAAGATGCTATCTGCTATCAAAATTTGCAGTCTTAGATACTCTAGATATGGTTGTTATGCGTTAAAATCAACCTGAGAGCTGGGTTTGTTTGTGTGCTTGTTTTTCATAGATCATTCTGTTTTCTCCTGTGTTCACATCTGTGACTACTGCTCCTGTTTGCATTGCAGTTAAACCCATAGGAAAGGAGCCCTGGTGGCGGAGTCAGCTGGACATTGAGCGGCTAACCACAAGCTGTTAGAACCTACCAGCCACGACATGACCGAAAGATGAGGCTGTCTGCACCTATAAAGATGGAAACGTCTCGGAAACCCTAAGAAGTCGTTTTACACTGCCCTATAAGTTCACTGCAAGGCCTAATCAAGTCTGTGGCCATGCGTTTGGTTTTGGATTTGCTATCCATATGGAAGGCACATAAGATTTTGACCTGAAATTTAGATATGTCCATGGAAAATTGTTATTTCTACAGAATAGTACCATAAGTAAAAGTTTGCAGTCCTCCACAAAAGAGATAGGGCGTGAAGGGAGGAAGTGGGAACAGATAGGCTTCAGCAGAGACACAGATGTACAGGAGTTTTCACTCAAATATTGGCCTCCTGACCAGCCTCAGCAAATGTCAGCTGAGTGAGGCTTAGAGAGCTAACCCGACTGCTGGCATCAACAAAGACTGGCAGGTGCAGGCAGCCTCAGCACCAAACTGCTGCAGCTCGACCTTGAACTATATTTAATATTCATGTCTGAACAGCAGGACCTCGCCAAAGATAAGCGACTTCATCTGAGATAACGATTTAATAATAGTAAAAAGAATATTCATAGATATGCTAAATATTAATGACTGTCAGACTTGGCTGCTTTTAAACGTCAAAGAAGATAACTTACTTGTATGCAATATGGAATTCTGGAGAAGCCCAAGGTTAAATTTGTTCAGGCCAGTCCTTAAAATACTGTAGAAAAGCACAATTAAAAAAACAAAAAGATTTTTCTCGATAGTCTTTCAGATTTTGAGTATAGTGAATGTAAAAGTTCAGACCCTCAGCTAAGATGTGGTGACTGAGGTTGCTAGCAGGTCTAAATTCTGTGCTGAGGAGCGTTTCCACTGCTTCCCGCAGGCGGGCAGATGCAGTGTTGTCGAGCTAAGTGCATGGTGCTAATCTTGACCTGTGTAGCTTTCTCAGGTTAACTGTGAAGATTAGACACCCCGGGCAGTCTGATGTAGTTACTTTTTCTGTTGAGCTACCCTTCCTCCTGGTACTTACATTGAACATGAAGCACTGATCTAAAATCCTACTGTTCCTGCTATATTCTTTGCAATACTGAATATGGAGTTCTTGACGCATAATTTTGTCTAATGCAATTGCTTTTTTAGTTTGTTAGGTGTGAGGTCAGTGTTGATAACCCGTGTGTGTGTGTGTGTAGTATTCCATTGTATGGGGTTTCAGTGGCTGGATTTTTTGGAAGTAGATCACCAGTCCTTTCTTCCAAGGCACCTCTGAGTACAATACACAAACCTCACCTTTCAGCTGGTCAGCCCAATGCATTAATCTTTGCATGACCACTAGCTCTGTGGGTTACACATACTGTACAATAAAATCCTTGTTATTTTTAGGACGCACACAATATTTCTCTGCCAGACATTTTTTTCCCCTAATGAAATTATTTTATCCGCTCTTTCACTTTTTAACGTAGTTCAATTCTTAACTCCTGCAATTTGATTCCTTCCACAAGATGAAGGAAAAACTCGTGGTATTACCAATAACTGAAGAAGCAAGTAATCCCAGATATTACAGAAAGCCTTTTAGTCCTCATTTACTGTAGCTTCTAAACTAAAAAAACACCCCATGTCATTGAGTCAATTTTGAGGTAGGTCTAGCTTTTTAAATGACAGGCACATCCCCTTTCAGGTGTGGCCAGTGAAAATGCAGCTGTTGAAGCAGCTCTGTTGAGCACTCTGACTCAAGCCTGCACTGTAGCAAGTGTAAGACAAAAAGATAGTAGACATTGTGCCGTTTTCATTAATACTCTCTAGTTTACTTCTCCGGGTTCTAGTATCCTTTGCAATGGCTACACAGGACACACACAGTTCATTATTGGGGAAGTTTGCAAGTTGTAATGCCAATGAGACATACTCAGGATAGCTGTTTATCTGGATATTCTCCAGAGTCCTTCCACATCTGCAAATAAATGCCCAAGAGGAAGCAGACCCGTCTACTGTATGCCTCAGCCCGAAGGCACTCGGCTCCCTTCCTGGGGTCAGCAAGCCCAGCTTCCCCAGTTCAGTGCCACAAGGCCCCCTCTTCGGCAAGCCAGCCTTCTGCACAAAACTGCTCCGCTTTCCTCGCTCGGCAGGGTGGGAAGGCCACCACTCTTCCGTGCTCTGGCTCTGCGTTTCGCTGCTGCTCCTCTGATGGTATCGCTGTTTTCTGAAGGTAGGAGGGTCAC